GTTGTTGTTGTATCTTTATTTGCTTTGTTATCAGGGAATACCAGTTTCAATAGGAATTGAGAAGGCTTGGCATAGTGGTGCACACATTTAAACCCAGTACTTGGGAGGCACAGGAAGGTGTATTTCTGTGAGTTGAGGGCCAGCCTGGTATATTTCTTGTGTTCCAGGTCAGCCAGAGCTACATCAAATGAGGCCCTGTTTTTAAAAAGAGAGAAAGAGAGAGAGAAAGTTTGGTAACATTTCTTCATTTCCATTTTATGGACTAGTTTGGGAAGCATTGGTGTTAGTCCTTTGAAGGTGTAATAAAACAAACCAGTCAGTTCAACAGGGGTTGGACATTTTGCTGTTGTTCTGGGAGCTTTGTATTAATTGCTTCAGTCTCATGGCTTGTTATATACATTCAGATTGTGTATTTCATCTTGGCTTAATTTGGTTGGTTACACATACCCAGAAATTTAAACATTCCCTTTAGATCGTCCAATTTAGTAGAATATATATTTTTAAAGTAAGACCTGATGATTTTGTGAATTTCATTGGTATCTGTTGTAACACCCCCTTTTGTCTCTAATTTTGGTCTTCTCTTTCTTTCGGTTAGTTTTGTTAAGGGTTTGTCAATCTTGCTCATTTCTTTAATGAACCAACTCTTTGTTTCATTGATTCTTGGCACTTGTTTGTTTGCATTTTTTTGAATTTCTATGTTGATCTTAGTGATTTCTCTCTGTATACTGATTTAGGGTTTACCTTCTTCTTGTTTTTCCTGGGCCCTACATTGTATCATTATTTGAAACCTCTCTTGTTTGTTTGTTTATTTATTTATTTATTTATTTATTTATCTATCTATCTATCTATCTATTTATCTATCTATCTATTTATTTATTTAAGACATTTTTAAAATTCATTCCACATACCAATTACAGATATCCCCCTCATCCCTCCTCCTGCTCCCTGCCAGACTCACAGACATTGAGAGCAACAATTAATAAATGGGACTCCTGAAACCGAGAAGCTTCTGTAAGGCAAAGGACATGGTAAATAAGATAAAATGACAGCCTACAGAATGGGAAAAGATCTTCACCAACACTACATCTGACAGAGGGCTGATCTCTAAAATATATAAAGAACTCAAGAAACTAGACATCAAAAAACCAGACAATCCAATTAAAAAAATGAGCTACAGGTCTAAGTAGAGAACTCTCAACAGAAGAATCTTAAATGACCAAAAGTCATTTAAGGAATTGCTCAACATCCTTAGTCATCAGGGAAATGCAAATCAAAATGACTCTGAGACACCATCTTACACCTGTCAGAATGGCTAGGATCCAAAACACTGATGACAGCTTATGTTGGAAAGAATGTGGAGCAAGAGGAACATTCCTCCACTCTTGGTGGGAGTGCAAACTTGTACAGCCACTTTGGAAGTCAGTATGGCGGTTTCTCAGAAAATTGAGAATCAATCTACCTCAAGAACCAATGAAACCATTCTTGGGCATATAACCAAGGAATGCTCAATCATACCACAAGGACACTCTCACAAGTATATTCATAGCAGTACTATTTGTAATAGCCAGAACTTGGAAACAACCTAGATGCCCCTTAACTGAAGAATGGATAAAAAAATATGTAGTACATATACACGGTGGAATACTACTCAGCAGTAAAAAAAAATGACATCATGAAATTTGTAGGCAAATGGATGGAACTAGAAAATATCATCCTGAGTTAGGTAACCCAGACTCAGAAGGACAAACATGGTATGTACTCACTCATAAGTGGATACTAGATGTAAAGCAAAGGATAACCAGACTACAACCCACAGTTCCAGAGAAGCTAGGTAACAAAGAGGACTCTCTCTGGTTTTTAGGTACTGAGAGCTACAAATTCCTCAGTTAGGACCATTTTCTTTGAAACACTGTATCTCATAAATTGTGATATGCTATGTTTTCATTTTTATTTGATTCTAGGGTTTAACCTTTTTTCTACTTATAGGGGCAGGAGAGATGGCTCAGTGACAAAAGATCACTGGCTGGACTTCCATAAGGATCAGTTTTGATTCCTGGTACCTACAGGACAGCTCACAACCATTTGTAACTCCAGTCCCAAGAGGTCCAAGACCCTTTTCTGGCCTCTGTGGGTACCAGACATGCAACTTGTATATTCCTGCATGCAACAGATATACATGCATGCAAAACACCCATACAGATAAACTATAAAAATCCAAATTAAAAAACTAAAATGTTCTTCTTGTTTTCTTCATTCATTAGTTTGTTACTTAGTCTTTTAGTTTTTGTATGCTCTATGGTTCTTCTTGATGTTGATTCAAATTCTTATTCCATTGTGATCAGGTAGACTACACAGAACAATTTCAGTTTTCCTGTAATGGTTGAGATTGTTTTGTGTGGTTTATTTGGAGCAAGTTCCATGGATTGCTGAGAAGAATGTATTCTGGAGCATTTGGATAGGACATTCTGCATTGTCTGCTCAGTTCTTTTGACCTATGGTGTCATTGAATTTGCATGCTTTTCTGTCTAATTTTTGTTGGAAGACTTGTCAGTTGGCAAGAATGCGCTAGAGAAGTTGCCCTCTACTTCTGTTCTAGGGTTAATCTGTGGCTCAACAGCTAATAGTATTTGTTTGATGTATGTTGTGGAATATTACTTTAACTGTGTAAGGGTGTGCTACATTTGTTTATGCTGCATTTGTTTAATGATGCAAAGATGTGTTGCTTTACCTGCCTAAGGCACTTGATTATTCTAATGAAAAGCTGAATGGCCAATAGCTAGGCAGTAGAGGGATAGGTGGGACTAATGGGCAGAGAGAATAAATAGGAGGAGGAATCTAGCCTCAAGAACAGAGGAAGAGAACAAGGGAGAAAGAGAGGGAGATGCTCGAGGCCAGACTCTTCAGTATGAAGGACTCCTTCAAGTATTTGCTGTAGAGTTGACTTAGAGGTCATATGCTATGCTAGCCTATTTTTATCATTGAAAGTTTTATTTTTTTCCTGCAATTATTACAGATAGCTTTGCTGGAAATAGTAGTCTGGGGTTGGCTGCTATTGTCTTTTAAAGCTTACAATACATCTTACCAAGCCATCTTTGCTTTTAAAGTCTTAGGTGAATAATTTGCTCTTATTTTGATGGGCTTGACATTATATGTGACTTGGTGTTTCTTTCTTGCTAGTTTCTTTTGTTATGTATTTTTATTGTTTTGCTTATAATGAGATGGGGAGTTTCCTTTCAGGTCTGTCTGTTTAGTGTCTAAATGCTTCATGCATCAAGACTGCCATTTCTTTTCCTACCTCAGAGAAGTTTTTGTTATGATTCTTTAAAAATGGTTTCTATGTCTTTAGAACCAGATTCTTCTACTTCTATGCCTATTATCAACAAATTTGGTCTTTTTCAGAGTATTGTATATATCTTGAAATTGCAACTGTTGTCCTTTTATTATTTCATTTTTGTCCTTGTTTTATTGTTTTAGTTTTATCACTTGTCTTCAAGCTCAGCTATTTCATCTTCCTCTTGATCTATTCTATTAGGGAGATTTTCTGGAGGGCTTTTTATTTGACTTATGTTTTTCATTTCTGGCAATTCAGATTGTTTTACTACCTTTGTTGACTTCATCTTTTATATCTTGTATTGCCTTCCTTATTTTCATTCATGTTTTTTTTTTGTACATAATCAGGAACTCATTTTATTCTTTGAACATACTTAAACAATTCTTTTGAATTCTCTGTCTGGGAATTCAAATAACTCACTCTAATTAGATGCCAGAACTGTAGGATTAAGAAATTTTGAGTTATGTTGTCACGTGTTTGTGTGTTTCTTATGCTATTGAATTGGGATTTACTCATCTGGTGTTATTTGCTTATTAAATTCATTTTTTTATCAGCTGTATCATTTCAGTTGAAATACTTGTAATGTTCACATGGGACATGGATGTGGTAGAATTGGGTAAGCTAACTGAAGACCTTCAGCACTCCCTTCTCTCTTCCAAATCCTATCCCCTAGTCTCATCCCTAGCTCAGCATCCCTAGAACACCTGCTGTAGCACTTTTCTCCCACCACCTCCATCTACTGTGGATCCCACAGATCTTTTCCTCCTAATGCCCCTCTTGGACTTGTTGCTTTATCTCAGCCTGCAACTTCAGCAGGCACTCCCTGATTACCTACAGGCCATTCCTGCCAGGGAAGTAGGCAGGCTGACTGTAGATCTATCTTCCCCTTTCCTTCTGTTTCTCCAGATCAAATCTCCCCAGTCTCATCCCCAGCACAATAGCAGACATTCTGTGACTTCTCTTCACTGTCTACCCCCATTCCAAGAAGACTAAATAAGAAAAGCCTGGTTGAAGACTCTGTTCAGGTCTCTCCTGTGAAACCCTTCAGACCCCTAGCCTATCCTCATTCCTAAAGGTCAGCTCCCAATACCCAGAAACACATTTACCTGGAACCCCCAGTGCCCACACCTATGAGGTCCACGTTTTCTACCAGGTAACACATAGCCATCACACTCTCCTAAAATCCAGAGAGGAAACAGAAATGGAACAAAACACTAACCCAACAAAGACAATCAGAAATCAGCACCTAGACCTGTAATTATCCCAATCCCAAAAGCTGCAATGCCAGTGTAAAAACATAATCAATAATGGCCAGGACAATATTCTCCAGTAAGAGCCCAGCAACCCTACCACAGCAGGCTGTTAATATTCTAACAGCTGAAGCACACACACATAAAAGACCTTAAAACTGCCTGTATGAAGGTGATAGTGGTCTTTTAAAAGGAAATGAATAAATCCCTTAAAGAAATCCCAGAAAACACAAACAAATAGAAGAAGGAAACAAATTTAACCCAGCAGTCAGAAGGCAGATCTCTGTGAGTTTGAGGCCAGCCTACTCTACAGAGCGATATCCAGGACAGGCACCAAAACTACACAGAGAAACCCTATCTGGAAAAAAATAAAAAACAAAAAACAAACAAAAAAATTGTTCAAGACTGGAAAATGCCACTCACTTCAGCAGCACATCTACTAGAATTGGAACGATACAGATAAGATTAGCATGGCCCCTGTGCAAGGATGACACAGAAATTTGTGAAGCATTCAATATTTTTATAGATAATTGCACACTAGCGAAACCCAAAGAAAGGAAACATGCACGCACATACACACACACCACCACCACCACCACCACCACCACCACCACCACCACCACCACCACCACCACCACAGGAACCAAAACCAAAAAATAACAGGAATTAACAATCAGTGGTCATCAATATCTCTTAATACCAATGAACTCAATTCACCAATAAAAAGACACAGGCTTACAGAGTGGATATGAAAACAGGATTCATCCTTCTCTGTGTACAAGAAACATACCTTAACTTCAAAGACAGACATTACCTCATAGTAAAGAGTTGGGAAAAGATTTTCTAACAAATGGATCTAAGAAGCAAGCTGGTATAGCTATCCTAATATCTAACAAAATAGATTTCAAGCTAAAATTAATCAAAGGAGATGGAGAAGGACATTTCATATTCACCAAAGGAAAAACACATCAAGATGAAATCTCAATTCTGAACATCTATGCCCCAAATACAAGGGCAGCCACATTTGTAAAAGAAATATTACTAAAGCTTAAATCACACATCAAACCCCACATGTTAATAATGGGAGACTTCAACACCCCACTCTCACCAATGGACAGGTCTGAAAGACAGAAACTTAACAAAGAAACAATGGAACTAACAGTTGTTATGACCCAAATAAACTTAATATACATCTACAGAACATTTCACCCAAACACAAAAGAATATACCTTTTTTTTTCAGCACCTCATGGAACCATCTCTAAAACTGACCACATACTGAGTTACAAAGTAAGTCTCAACAGATATAAAAAAATTGGAATAACCTCCTGTATTCTATTGAATCACCATGGTTTCAAGTTAGAATTCAACAACAACACAAACTACAGAAATCCTACAAACTAATGGAAACTGAACAACTCTCTACTGAATCGTCACTGGGTCAAGGAAGAAAAAAAAGAAAGAAACTAAAGACTTTCTAGAATTTAATGAAAATGAATGTACAACATACCCAAAATTATGGGACACTATGAAAGTGGTGCTAAGAGGAAAGTTCATAACACTAAGTGCCTACATAAAGAATTTGGAGAAATCCCACAATATTGACTTAACAGTACACCTGAAAGTTCTAGAACAAAAAGAAGTAAACTCACCCAGGAGGAGTTGACAGCAGGAAACAATCAAATTAAGGGCTGAAATCAATAAAAGGAAACAATACAAAGAATCAAAGAAACAAAGAGTTGGTTCTTTGAGAAAATCAACAAGATAGACATACTTTATCCAAATTAACCAAAAGGCAGAGAGAGAATACCCAAATCAAGAAAATTCAAAAATGAAAAGGAAGACATAACGACAAACATGGAGAAAATCCAGAGAATCATTAGGTCATATTTCAAGAACCTGTACTCCATAATGTTGGAAAATCTAAAAGAAATGGACAATTTTCTTGATAGGTAGCACATACCTAAGTGAAGTCAAGACCAGACAAACAATTTAAATAGACCTATAACCCCTAAGAAAATAGAAGCATCTAGTAAACATCTCCCAAACAAACAAACAAACAAACAAAAAAGCACAGGGCCAGATGGTTTCAATGCAGAATTCTACCAGAATTTCAAAGAAGAACTATACCAATACTCCTCAAATTGTTCCACACAATAGAAACAAGAAACATTGCCTAACTCTTTTTAAGAGGCTACAGTTACCCTGATACCCAAACCACACAAAGACACAATAAAGAAAGAGAATTACAGACCAAAACTCCCTCATGAACATTGATACAAAAATACTCAATAAAATACTGGCAAACCATATCAAAGAACATGTCAGAAAAAAAATCAACCACTATGATCAAGAGACTTCATCCTAGAGATGCAGGGTTGGTTCAACATTTGAAAATCTGTCAATGTAATCCACCATATAGACAAACTGAAAGAAAAAAACCACATAATCATTTCATGAGATGCTGAAAAAGCCTTCGACAAAATCAACACTCCTTCATGATAAAAGTCTTGGAGAGACCAGGAATATAAGGAACATACCTAAACATAATAAAGGCAATTTACAGCAAGCCAACAGCCAACATCAAACTAAATGGAAAGAAATTCAAAATGATTCCACTAAAATCAGAAACAGGACAAGGCTGCTCACTGTCTCCATGTCTACTCACTATAGTACTTGAAATTCTAGTTATAGCAATAAGACAACAAATGGAGATTAAGGGGATACAAATTGGAAAGGAAGAAGTCAAACTTTTGCATTTTGCTAATGATATGACAGTATACATAAGTGACCCCAAAAGTTCTATCAGAGAACTCCTACAGCTGATAAACACCTTCAGCAATGTGGTGGGATACAAGATTAACTAAAAAAAAAAATAAGTAGCCTTCCCATATACAAATGATAAATGGGCTGAAAAAGACATCAGGGAAACATCATCCTTTGCAGTAGCCATAAATAACATAAAATACCTTGGTGTAGCTCTAACCAAACAAGTGAAAGATCTGTATGACAAGAACGTTAAGTCCTTGAAGAAAGAAATTGAAGAGGATATCAGAAAATGGAAAGATCTCCCATGCTCATGGATAGGTAGGATCAACACAGTAAAAATGGCAGTCTTACCAAAAGCAATCTACAGAATCAATGTAATCCCCACCAAAATCCAAATACAATTCTTCACAGACCTGGAAAGAACAATACTCAAGTTCATATGGAAAAACAAAACACCCAGGATAGCCAAAACAATCCTTTACAATAAAGTAACCTCTGGAGGTAAACCCATCCCTGACCTCACGCTCTACTATAGAGCTATAGTAATAAAAACAGCTTGGTTATTGGCATAAAAACAGACATATGGACTAATGGAATGGAATTGAAGATCCTGACATTAATCCGCACACCTATGAACACTTGATTTTTGACCAAGAAGCCAAAACTGTACAATGGAAAAAAGAAAGCATCTTCAACAAATGGTGCTGGCATAACCAGATGGGGGCAAGTAGAAGAATGTAAATGGATTCATATCTATCACCCTGCACAAAACTCAAGTCCAAGTGAATCAAAGATCTCAACCATAAATCCAGTTACACTGAAGCTGATAGAAGAGAAGGTAGGAAGTAGCCTTGAACATATTGGCACAGGAAACTACTTTCTATATCTAACACCAGTAGCACAGACACTGAGAGCAACAATTAATGAATGGGACCTCCTGAAACTGAGAAGCTTCTATAAGGCAAAGAACATGGTCAATAAGACAAAATGACATCCTGCAGAATGGGAAAAGATCTTCACCAACACTATATCTGATAGAGGGCTCATCTCTAAAATATATAAAGAACTCAAAATACCAAATAATCTAATCAAAAAATGAGGCATAGAGTTAAACAAGAGTTGTCAACAGAAGAACCTCAAATGGCCAAAAGTCACTTAAAGAATTGCTCAACATCCTCAGCCTTTAGGGAAATGCAAATCAAAATGACTCTGAGACACCATCTTACACCTATCAGAATGGCTAAGATCCAAAACACTGATGACAGCTTATGTTGGAAAGAATGTGGAGCAAGAAGAACATTCCTCCACTGTTGGTGAGAGTGCAAACTTGTATAGCCACTTTGAAAATCAGTATGGTGGTTTCTCAGAAAATTGAGAATCAATCTACGCCATGATCCAGCAATACCACTCTTGGGCATATACCCCAAGGATGCTCAATCATACCACAAGGACACTTGCTCAACTATGTTCATAGCAGCATTATTCATAATAGCCAGAACCTGGAAACAACCTAGATGCCCCTGAACTGAAGAATGGATAAAGAATATGTGGTACATATACACAATGGAGTATTACTCAGTGATGAAAAACAATGACATCTTGAAATTTGCAGGTAAATGGATGGAACTAGAAAAAACCATCCTGAATGACTTGTCTGCTACTCACATCACCAGGGAGGCTACCTGGAAAACAGGACCCCAAGAAAGACACAGGGATCGCCCAATGACAGAGAAATGGAATGAGATCTACATGAACAGCCTGGACATGAGTGGGGGTAATGAAAGGCGAGGGTTGAGGGAAAGAGAGCTTGGGGGAGCAGGAGATCCCAGCTGGATCAACAACAGAGAGGGAGAACAAGGAATAGGAGACCATGGTAAATGAAGACCACATGAGAATAGGAAGAAGCAAAGTGCTAGAGAGGCCCACAGAAATCCACAAAGATACCCACACAACAGACTGCTGGCAATGGTCGAGAGACAGCCCGAACTGACCTACTCTGGTGATGGGATGGCCAAACACCCTAATTGTTGTGCTAGAAACCTCATCCAACTTCTGAGGGATCTGGATGCAGAGATCCATGACTAGGCCCCGGGTGGATCTCTGGGAGTCCAATTAGCGAGAATGAGGAGGGTTTATATGAGCGAGAATTGTTGAGACCAAGGTTGGATAAAGCACAGGGACAAATAGCCAAATGAATGGAAACACATGAACTATGAACCAATGGCTGAGGGGTCTCCACTGGATCAGGCCCTCCGAATGGGTGAGACAGTTGATTGGCTTGATCTGTTTGGGAGGCATCCAGGCAGTGGGACCAGATCTTGTGCTCATTGCATGAGTTGGCTGTTTGAAACCTGGGGCCTATGCAGGATTGTTTGGCTCGGCCTGGGAGGAGGGGACTAGACCTACCTGGACTGAGTCTAACAGGTTGACCTCAGTCTGTGGGGAAGGCTTTGCCCTGGAGGGGATGGGAATGGGGGGGGGGGGTTGGGGGGAAGGTGAGGGGGACGGGAGGGGGGAGAACAAGGGAATCCGTGGCTGATATGTAGAACTGAATTGTATTGCAAAATAAATTAAAATAAATTAAAAAAAAAACCATCCTGAGTGAGGTAACCCAGACCCAGAAAGACAAACACAGTATGTACTCACTCATAAGCGAATATTAGATGTAAAGCAAAGGATAACCATGGTACAATCCACAACCTCAGAAAAGCTAGGTAACAAGGAGGATCCTAAGAGAGACATGCATGGATCCCC